ATTACTACTGTATGAAACATTACACATGTAGTCTTCTATTAAATATTTGGCGCTATTAGGCTTACGAGGGGTAATCTGCACTTTCAGCTAGTTTTTTTTCTAGTTCATTTTGACTAACAAGTCTCATTCTGGTGAAACTTGCAAACTCTTGCGAACTCTCTGCAAACTGGTAGAAGTGAGCCCTTTCGGTTACAAGAATTTACAGGTCTTTACAAGGTAGCCTGACGGGGTTTGCTGAAAACCTCTCGATGCCCCGCCAAGCCGTGCTGGGACAAACACTTGTATTCCTTATAGTTTGAATGAAGGTTATGCGTCAAATCACTGCCCGAGAGACTGCGAAAGCTTCAAATGGTTTCAACAAAGTTCAAGGGAGCGAAAGGTCAAGGAAACCTCTAGACTATTTCGGGTGTGCGACCGCAAATTTTAGTGTCCCATTTTGTGATTGAAGTGGAAATATTGGTGGTGAAGGTCAGGAGATCCGAACTGCGGCGATGTGGCGAAGGCCATGTCGCCGCATATCGGATCTCCTGACCCACGAAATTCTTAACTGAGGATGCAATCATTGCTAGCAAACTCACTGGCATCATTGAAGGGATGATAAATCATGTGAGCAATGTGAATCGGTGGTCGAGCCACTCGAAGGCCTTTGTCGGTACGTTTATTAGAGGTTTTGCAGAGCAGCAGCATGTCCGTAAACAGTAAACAATGCATTTCAACCTGTAAACAACGGAAATTATGGTGAATTACGTATAATTAGAATCGAAAAAATCCATACCTTTGGTCCCTGCCGACTTTCCCTGATTTTCAGATTACCGCGATGAATAACCCGTCGGAATTGTGGTGGTCCCGGTAGAAGTGGCATCGGTGCCATTAGGTCCAATGTTGCTCGACGATTCGGGAACAACTGAAAGCAGCCTGGCATACACAGGAAGTTCTGGGAGCGATTATGGGAGGGTAGGATTTACCTTCTCAAACTCTTCACAATCGACAGCATCATAGCCATCGATGCTCTTCATGATCTCGGCCATTTGTAGGCGGAGATCGTTGTTATTGAGCTCAAAGTTTAACTGTTGGGTGGCAGCATCCGTTCGGTCGATCATTGCTAAAAATAAGTACATAGAATGAACTTTTGGTCCCATAAGGCACTAAAAAGCGCAATAGTCATAAAAATCTAAAAGGGAATGTATTTATGAGTTAAACGAGGCGGGCCCGAGTGGGTAAGCTTTTTCCTAAGACCGTTAGGACTCATCAAAAGAAGAAAAGAGCTTATTCGTAAGAAAAAATGCTAATAAACGAGAGAAGGCACACGGCACAATTGTAGTAAAGCGTGCCAATTGAGTGACCGTACAGTCTGCCCAGCTGTGAAAAGCAGGATGGCAAATAGTGGTCTTGCTCGTATTCTTGTAGAAACTCACCATTCGTAAGCGCTTCTGAATATAGGACGCTTGAAAAGAGATGATGATGCTTAGGTGGAGGAATACTCTATAGAGAAAAGGTCGTACAGTCTTGTTCGCTGCGGATTAATGGGTGTGTCCATGAGCTTGGGCTTGGCGCGATGCCAGCTCCTTCTCTACCAGTTTTTGAAGCGGCTAAGATCTGGTGGAAAACGACTGCTACGAAGAACACGACACAATCTTGTCGCTACCGTAAGGAAAAAGGTGTGCTAGCGCCGCGCTGAGCCCATCCCCCTTCACGCGCCGAATGGTCTGCAGTGAATAAGACTATATATGGCCTGCTGGACCGGGGGAGGAGAAATCGAGGCGAGACTGGATAGCATTCACTTGAACTCGGGTAACTATAGCTTTCAACTTCTTCACTATTACGGTAGGGTACTGTAGGTCGCGTCGCAAGGACAACAGGTTGGGAGAATAACTTGTGAGGGAAGAGTCGCACCAAGACCCTCTTCTGGGGATCGTGATGACATCGCCATTTAAATTATTCCCGAGAGATTGCTGATATCCAATTTGTTATGGCTTCTGCAATCCATGCGGGCGGAGCCTAGCTTGTTGATAAGTTGCTCATAACTCCAGTAATTACTAGTAATTACTATAACCTAGTGTACAGTTGGAAGAAATCTTTGCTGATGGACTAATGGTAAAATAGAGTACCAGCGAAGCACAAGAGATTCAATATCATATTGGAAAAAGTTGGATGACTGCTAGGAAATCGCGAGAAGGCCGAAAATTCCCAGCTATACTTTAGAAAAATGAAGTAGTTCTAGCTTGGGAGGGGGGGGCTAAAGCAGAGGGCGGAGTTTTGGCGGAGGGCGGAGCTGTGTCCACTACCTATTCAACTACATCACGCGTCTGTTGCAACGCATTCACCAATCAGAAAAAAATAAGTGAAACAAAATTGAACAATTTTCTGAAGTAAACATACTTTGAATGATCAATCGTTCCCTATCATCTGTTGAATTCGACAGCACGGCCTAAACAGAGGAAGTCATGAGGAATCATAACGCCCAATCGGGAATTCCATTTTATCGTAGACAAATCTGACAAATCTAAGACCCGTCCGGGTTGGGAGGGGCATTTTGACTCTTGCTGGTTTGTTTTGTTAGTTTTTTCTAACACACACGTGTTTCCTTGGTGAGACCTGTGAGCATTTGTCAAGAGTAAACAAATCGCCTGCTATTGGAAAACTTTTCAGGACTTTACAAGCCTTCATAGGAGGCGTCGGCATGACGACGGGTACCAGCAGAATGCCCCTACCAAGCCAAACTGCTGCCTAATTTCCCACCAAAAGTTACTTACCTTCAATAGAAGGCTGTATCTGGTGAGCCGTTGCATTGGACTCGTCAACGTATCGCAGAGCTTTTGCCGTCGCATGGACTCCTGTGATTCCGCCCACTGAAGATAAAAAGGATTGGTGTTTTGCAGCAGTGGCAAGTGGAGGTTGAGCTGGCTGCTGACTAAGAGGAAGCCAAAACCGCCGTTCAAGGTCTTCTTGGTTGTCAAGTGTCTTCTTACCTGCACGAATTCCCTGAACATCTCGTTGTCCTTCTGCTTTTTCTGCACGTACGTGTGGCTATCATCATGGCCGAGATTGAATGGGATATAGCATTTCGACCATTCGCTAATGTCTTCAAAACCATGCATCAGCAGCAAAGGGTCAAATGGCTTTCGAGTTTGCCTGAAAAAAAAACTAAAATTTCCCTCTTGATGTCGACGGGGTTCTGTCTGAGAGTCCCCTCAAAAATCGTCCGTTAAAGGCTCAGTCCACGCTAAATATGCGGGACGGAGTCCGCGATGATCGTGTGGTCCCAGTCAGTCCTCCCGTTGTAGGGCATTTCGCATTCGTTATTGGCGCGTTCCTCCCCTTTAAAGCTGTGAAGGGAGGGGCGCGCCAAGCAGAGCGGCACAAATTGTTGACTGTCCCGCCCATACAAGAAGCGTGGACTGAGCCTTCTACACAAAATCATACTAACTCGCTCTAGTAATCCACAAACTACCCACCTAGAATAGTCAAGTAGTGGTTGAAGGGCTCGTCGCCAAAAGATGACGTTCACCGTAAACAATTCGGAATAATTGAGAAACACTCGTGTTATGCTGATTTCCCTGCAAAAATTGCTATTCGTTGAGAGTCTGAGAAGGGATGATAAAAATCAGCACAAAATTCAACTCACTTGAAATATCCCATTTTTTGCAGCTCAAGAAAATAGCATGAAAGATCGTGCATGTTTTTGAGAACCTGAAAAAAACGGTGATTTTTGAGGGTGAGCGGGACTCTATAATTCAATACCTGGATGTAACGGTACTCCGTGGTGACAATCTCCCATATCGCTTCCTGCTGATCTATGTGTCTCCTCGTAAGAGACTGAAATAATCACAGTAACTCTTGAAAAAGCACTTCTAGAGTGGTCTTGGAGAAAATTCCCAGCAGAAATCGCCGAAAAATGGGGAAAAAATAGGAGGGCTGAATTCGATTTCTCTGAAAAATCCCGCCCGAGAGGAAAAAAAACGTCTGCAAGCCTAGAAAACTATACTATTTACCACTCGGAGCTTGCATGGGGAAACAAATGCCCACAAAAGTACATGGGTCATTTTCAAAGAGCAAGACTTGTTGGTAGGTGAAACGGCAAAAGGAAGAGGGGCTTCGAACTCTTCTATAAGTCATCCATGCCATTCTCGATAAGAATTCTCAAGTAGTGAGGGATATTTCGGACAAATTCAGTCTTTCTTCGTTGTTGTGATCAAAAGTAGTTTAGAAATCGAGTTGGGATCTGCCATTACACCAGTTCTTCGAGTTTGGCCCGACCTACCTTGTGGCGCGGCTGCCCGCCCATAGCGATCTACCTCGTAATACTTCAACCACTGACCCCTTGCTGAGCCTTACCCACTTTTTCCCGGTCTCTGGAGTGCCACGAAACAAAAGTAAAATTCTCTGAAATAAGCATCTAATGTTCGAGAGAATGTTTTGCTTTCTGAGACAGCTCTGGGACAAATCGTGAGATTTTTATCTGCTGACAGCGATTTCAACTTTCGGCGCCACGCCTCGCCCCACTGCATGCGGGCTTTAGCGTAGGCAAAGTGCGCAATATACGTCTCGTCCATGCCCGATCTGTCACAATCTTGACCCGACCTCTTCAAGTTGCTTTTCAGGGAGAACCGAATTTCACAAATAAACAAGCAGGGTTAGCAAATCAGATGTAGTAGGGTTACAACAAGTTCGAATGCATATCAAAGCAGTGGTCGAAAACTTCTGAAGACGAATCTCATCAATGGCTTACCCCTCGATCAGCAACGATATCTGTCCAGTGGTTTTCGATTTCGGGAATTATGCTCGAAATCGGCTCCGTGCGTTCTTTCATCTCGTTCAGCTTGTTGAGCATTTCTTTTTCCTGAAAACGACACTTATTCAGACAATTGCATCCATTCACTTCAATAGAAGGCTGCATTGAATTTCGCCACTCACTTAATTGCGGAATCTTTTATAGGAAGCATATAAAGAAACTCATTCGAGTGTCGGAAAAAATTTCAATATGAGAACTTTCGGCTCAATCGTTATTTCCGGTAAGGGTTACAGAGGATTTAGACGGTGCTCTATCGGAAGCAGGCTGACAGTGGAAGCAAAAGGCTTTTTTCATGAGGATTTATAACGACATTTGGCGCTAGAAACCTTAGGTGGGGCACATCCGTAAGCTCCTAGACAATCATTTCAGCATACAAGTTTTGACAAGATTGGCAGTATTTCACAGGGGATTCTTGACAGCTGATAACAGGACTTGCCAGGTGTGCCCTTCCCAATTATTAGCGTCCAAATTTTAATAGTACTCGTATCATTACTTTAGATAGGTTCTATTATATGCAAGAGAGTTGCACATGAGATCGTGGTAGGGCAATGACTAGTAGTGGATGGGCAAAAACCGAATACTACTCCGCTGAAAAGTGAACACGACCAGATAAGAAGTGGTCTAACCGGGGCGTATCGACTCTTCAAAAAGAGCAAGCTTTTCCTTTTTTTTTTTTGAGAAGCTTCGTTACATCTTAAAAGAGTCGTTAGGAAAGACGATCTGGTGGTAAAGAGGTAACGCAGCGAGCAGAGCCCGTCAGCCTAAAATGGCTAGAAACTGAGCTCAGCAAAGGCATGCGAAATGCGGCCGCTGTTTGTCGACGGGGGGGGGCATTTTTTACTACCATTGCTTCCCTAGTTCCGGTTCACAAATCTCACCCTGGTAAAACTTGTGAACCCTTGTGAAGCTGGTGCAAGATCGTCTAGCCACCATCCTAAAACGTGTCAACTCGAGAAAAGGCTACCTAGATGGGTCGGCACATCTATGGAAAGCAGAATGCCCCCCCCCGTCGACAAAACTGCGCCACCCTAGGCCCTAGGCCGAACAGCTTCCACTTTTAATCAGATAAAGAAGCTATAGCGATAGTGGATGTTAGCACCGCCTTCGGAAGATCGCTGAATAGCGATTGGTTGGAACACTTTTTGGAAAGAAAGAAAAAACGAACGAAAGCAGGAAGAACCTGGGAAACGGAACCAGTACAACAAAAAGGCCCGACTTTTGACAAACTGCCCCGTACAGAAAAACATCAGCTCCCAAATGACGAAATGACCTACCCTGGAGGAAGCCTGCATTTGAGTTAAGCGAGTCAATGGCGGCAGATTAGCAGTTATTCACACGTTCACTCATTTGAAGTAGACATTCACTTGATTGAATGAATTGAAGGAAAAAAGTAATTTCATCATACGAACTGGTACTCCGAACGTAAGGGGATTATTCTGCTGCCATTCAGCAAGATTACCTTATCAGTTTGGCAAAATTGTAGTCTGACTAGGGTACAAAGGCCCACTGATTGCTACCTTTGGCGGAACAATTTCCTATTTATACCGTCTTCTTCCATATTCACTCGCATACCTTGTTATTTGTTCACCCAGTAGGAGCCACAAAAGCGGACCGACGTAAAGAAATCACAAGAAAATGAATTATTCAGCAGTACGGGGAGAAGGGTGGGGGGGATTGAAAGAGTGGTACACATCCTTTTTGTGCAACCCACATGGGGATCGTGCTTGTTTTCCCTATGCACTGCACTGAAGGATAAAATACGATCCCCATGCACGGAGAGAGGACAAGGTTGTATTTTTCCTAGTGAGTTTTATTGCTGTTTCCCGTTTCAGCCGCCGTATACCCCGCCTTCCCCAAACACGGCACATCGTTGTTGGGATTACCCAACAAGGAGGTCGTATTTGGTCGCTGGGGGGGTGTATTTGGGCTGAGAAAAATTTTTCGATAGTTTTTTTCTTGCTTCAGGGACGCTATAAGGGGGGGGGTCGTATTTGATCGCTGTGAGAGGGTCTCTTATTTTCCGCGCGGTTTTTCCCGCTTCACATGTGCTATACTCGCCACCCCTCCCCCGCCGCTCGACAGCTTTCGATTAGAGGAGGGAACTAGGGGTGGGAATCGTACCAACCCCCATAAAAAGAGGGGGGG